CTGCATTGCGATGATGATTGAGATCGACATAGACGGCTGCTGCTTCGGGTATTACACCCAACAGGCAACAGTAGGGTTTGAGTCCTTTGATGTAGAGCGCCAGCAGTGAGATGACAACGCCGATAAGGAGGCTGTGAAGATAATGAGAGAAATTTTAGTGAATTTATGATTATGTATGTATGTGTGTATGTATAGGGTATACTCCGAATGCAGGAAGTACTGGGGAGCCATTGGGGGCACTAGACTGGTTTAAAAAAATACGACTTTTTTCAAAATCCCTTATGAAATATTTTCGGGGCAGGTAAAAACACGCCTGTCAAAAGAGCGCAGCCTTTTCTATTAAGATTTAGAGGTCGCTCATCGCGTGTTTCTATTTTTTATATACATACATAAATAGTACAAAATAAAAATTTTTGATTTTGAAATTTTTAACTGGCTTTCAGTCAACGTATCGGAATGAGCGATATATATTTTTTGAAGGGAATTGAAAGATATAAAAAAGTATTTCAAGATTTTTCCATAAATTAGAACTTATAGATAAAAAATTTTACGTTTTATTTCAATTTCAATGTCTAAATTCTATACTCAAAATTTTTAATTTTCTTAAAAAAAATGTTTTATATTCCACAAAACTGCATGCTCAAAATCTCTAATAAATTTAATGAAAAGGCTCAAAATTTGTAGGAAACTTTGTTGAATTAATTTTAAATATTGCACTTAGTATCAAGTTTCTCAAATCTCACGACATTTTTTAATATTGAACTCTCCGATACTCACCCATAGTCAATGTCAATCAACACCACCGACACAAACGTCGCAATCCATGTAAGAAGCTCCAATTTACCCTGTTTGGAGTAGTTTTTCAGCTCTTTTGCTTGCATAAACATCGGTTTTAAGGCAACAATAATCACGCCAGCCAGCACGCACTAAAACATACAATGAAACAAAAATTATTTTCCTACATATTTTACTAATAACTCACCCGCGGCAGTGTGCTAAAGAATGGACCCATCCACAGCAATGTCATTATAATCAATATCGCAGATACGAGTGACGCCAGCTGCGTCACACCACCTGTCTGTTCTTGTATCACAGAACGCGAGAGCGAACATGCCAATGGATAGCAGGAGAAACAACTTGATATACAATTGGCCATGCCCAAAGCGAAGAGCTCCTGATTGGCACGCACCTCATATGAATGTTTCTTCGCGAATGTCAATCCCATGGACATAACCACCGAGAAACTAACAATTGCAATCGCTATTGAATCCACCGCTACCATGGGTATTAAATCCAAGCGCGGCAGTTCGGGCATTGGTAAACCCTTTGGGATATCACCGACTAATGTCACACCATAATTGCCATGCACATCGAGTAGGCGTGACACCAAAGTGCCACCAATGACTGAAATTAGTTCGCCGGGGAAGGGCAAGCGACAACGCTTGCGTAGACAAGGTTTGAGGAACTCATTGCAGATCGTCATAAAGATTATAATGCATATGCAAATAGAAAGCGCTATAATATTCGTTTTTGGTATGGATTTGAAAAGATCGAAGACGGTGTAGACAATTTTGAAGGCACCCTTGTAGCGTTGTATGTGGACGCCGAGCACATCCTTCAGTTGACTGACAATGACATGCACAGCAGCGCCGGTGGTGAAGCCATTAACCAGCGGATCACTAAGCAGCGCAGCCAATGTGCCGAGGCGAAAGAAGCCCATGCCAAGCTGTGTGAAAGAGAGGGATAAATTGAAGTTAACTATAGTTGAAGTGAGATGATATGGGCAAATATTTATAAGCAGATTGTGTGTTAAAATGGAACTGATGGAAGCTATTAATTTACAATTTGAACCAATTTACAACCAATTTCGTGCCCGGAATCAGTTATGGCAATTTAACTTTTTGCACATTTGTGCCCGGGCTGTTTCGGGCACGCAGAAGAAGACATTACGATCCAAAAGTGGAACGTATTTGCTCTCTACTTCCCATTTTTGTAGCGTGAGGGCTGCTTTGGGCAGTGGGCTCATGTGGAACAAAACTATTTTCTTTACTTAAAGCAAATTTAAATTACTTTCCACTTGTGTTTCGTTGAACTACTTTACGCGCTTTTGATCGCTTTCAAAAGTACTAGTGTGAGTTATTTGCTAAAGCAACAGTTAATTTATAAACACATTCCACACTTTTATCTATTTATCTTAACCACTTAAGTCACCTCCTTATGTATCCTATTCACATATATAGAAATTATTTTGTGGAACGTAAGTTTCTGAGCGCCAAAAATATTTTAACTTGCAGCTTAAAAGCACAAATTCCCTCCTTCCTTTTCCATATACACACATACATACATATTTATGTATATAAAATAATAGTTCAACTTTTTAAGCAGATCTAATATTCTTAAGATTCTCAAAAGTTGCCTTAAATACATACCATCCACTATTCACTTACATGCAAAAGTCCTGTACAAAACGCCAGCGCTGTTGCCACCTCTATTGGTGTTATTATCTCCGCTACCTTTACAATTTCCGTCGCCTCCGCCGCTGTGCCATTTCGCACCATTGCTGGTGCCAATATCACATGGTCCTCCGTTGCGTATGTTTGCACCACTTTCAAAGTCATCATAGATATCACAGCAAAAGTTCCAATCGATATGTGTCTCGAGGTACCCAATATCATGTACACTAGTACCGGGAATATGGCTAACGCCAACCCGCAACCAGGTGTCACACCAGCAAGTATACCATAGGCCATGCCATGTGGTATATTCATAATGGCCACTGTGACGCCAGCTACAAGATCGCCCATCATGTCACGACGCAATGAGTAACGCGGCAGCCATTGCACGATAGGCACTATGCCAGCGAACAGCGAGAGAAAGGACCAATTCTCCCATGAACGGCGCATACCCGATGGGATACTTTTGTCGCGTGCGCCATAGCCGGTCTGTTTGATGACCACCTCGTGGGATAATACATCGCGATGAACATCATATTTTGGTTGTACTTTTGGCTTCTCCGTGAGGTAGGCCTGTGTGAGAGGTTTAGTTCTAAAGAAGATATCGATGAGGTGAGAGAGAGAGAGGAATAGAGTGAGTGGGTTTTGGTAAGGTGAATTTATTTTTTATTTTCTTTTTTTTTTTTTGCTCTATAACTTACTCATTATCACCATTCTGTTGTGCCATCATACCGTTTAATACGCTCGCATCCACAACCGCATCGGTGTATTGATGATGTTGCAGTCGTTGTTTATACTGATTGTGACGTAAGCTCGTGCGTGGTGTGATCGATGATAGTGGTGGCGTACGCAAACGCTTTGGACGTTTTGGCTTTGTGCCAGTTGACTTTGAAACTTTTACTACCGTTGGTAATTCGAGTGTTTCCACAGACACTGAACGCTTAACGTTATAGCTGCCAGAGCTCAATGACGTTACTGACGAAGTACCTGCTCCGTCGCCGATGCCACCATAAATGCTACCAGCTACAACTCTTTCCCTTTCAGATTGCAATGTATGTGGTCTGGTTGCGTTGCCGTGTGGATCGCGTCTGCGTTTGAAGCGTTCGAGTGCAAATTTGCGAACGTTTTTAAAATTAATCGGTTTCTAGTGGATGATAAGATGGAATAAGAAGAAACAATGAACATTAATTCAGATTAAGCTGGAGTTGTGCTTGTGTGTTGTCTTTGTGGGAGTAAGATTAAAGCGGTTTATTATGTACGTTTGTATGTATGCATACGAGTATACATTGTAGTATATATTAAAATAAGTATGTCGGCACATAGCAAACTAATCAGATGGTGTACGTACATATGTATGTACGTATGTGTTTACAGCTGATAATAATAAATGTCTAGAAGACGTGAGGCCAAATATTTTGATTAATTGGCAGGTGAAGGGATCGTAAAAATTTATGGTCACTTGCTATCTTTATAATGTACATACATATGTCTATACATTTAGTTCGACAGGGGATTAGTGTGACGAGGACAGAGATAAGATATTCAACTTTGTGGAGGCTGTTAAATGTAAGTATTTTTTTCCAAGTCCCCGAAACTGTTGAGGGAACTAAATAATAAAATCCTATAAAATGTGTTGTAGAGAAGGCAGTTATGACTTTTGGGCTATAGCTGAGATAAAAGCATAGTCTAATTAAAAAATAAAAAAAATATCAGGTATTATCTGTGGAACATAAAACTATAATTGTACTGCATACTACAAAACATATATGTACATATGGAGCTGCTCGAATGCAAGACGAAACTTCAAAATGATGATACAATCCTCACAGACTGTTTACATAAACTAAAAAAAGATTAAACCTTTGCTACTGTCCAAATACTAAAAAATACGTTACACATAATTTTTTTCTACAAATTAACCTACATACGAATATACATATCTTCTTTCGGTTATTGATCTAAGTGACTTTTCCCACAAATACTGGCCATTTTTTGCAAATTTGCAATGCAATCCACAAATGTTTCGCATAAAAAGCTTACCATAAAATGTAAGACATCTTTAAAACCAAATTCTACTCGAAAATTACCATTTACAAATATCTTCCACATACGCTATACACATTTTCTTCCCCATTTATAGCATCACACAAACAACTTTATTTTTAGCTACGTTGTCACTCTCCATAAAATATTTGTACTTTGTTCATCGGAATCATTTATTATTTTTTAAGACCTCCGCCAAAATATTTCGGAAAAATATTAAAATTTATGCGAGCTGGACCGATTTGAAAATATCTACATACTTCCAAAAAGCGAGGTTTTGTAAATAAAAATTTTTTTTTTTTAAAAAATACAGCGAACGTAAAGGTTATGATTTTTATAAAAAAATAATAATTTAACTGTTAAAATTGGATTTCTATTTTCCCGATCACATTTAACAGTTATTTTAAGATCTTTTTCGATCAAGAATAATCGTTTTTTCTGGATTTTTATTTTTAAAATAATTTTTTTAGCGTTATTTTCGATCAATTATAGCTGTTATTTTAAGATTTAATTTGTTGTATCATAAAAGGTCATAAAACGTAATCTCCATTAGAAATTATGACAAAAATCAATTTTATAAAATAACGATTTTTTTATCCCAAAACAACAAAAAAAAATCCAAATTTAACGATTATTCTTGATCATAATATAAAAAAATAACGATTTCACAATGATTTAAACAATGAGAAAATTTAAGATTTTAAACTTAAAAAGTCGGCATAAAACAATTATTTTTAAAATTAATTTTATTCAACAATTTTATTGAGTTTAGGTTTTTTTTATGATAAACAATAATAATTTACAAAGATAGAAGTTATGGCTGCTATTTCGGATATCACCTAACTTCTGCATCGAGTTCACTGAGATTTGAATTCGCAACTTCGGCGTTCAAAGCCAGTGGTCTTATCCACTGAGCTAAGTTTGCCAAGTAATATTTATAATTAAAAAAAAACTGCCTCAAGCGCAATAAAATTGTTTAATATAATTGTTATAAGGCAATAAATAACAAAAAAAAACAATTTTATTTTGGAGATGCTTTTAAATCGTCGTGTGTTGTAATATATAATAAATTTTACGGTTTCTGTGAAAAACCCGCACCCTTTTTGGTGAGCCACACTAATGTATTACAATCCACATATTTGTAATTCAGCGATAGGCGTTAAAATTAAAAATAAGGCAAAATTATTTGGTCCTAATTACTAGGAGTTACATTTTTATTGATTTTATAAAATGCATGCTGCGCCAGAACCGATATTATAAATAAAACAGTTGCAGGTCTCTACATTTTTATTTTTTTTGCTAAATTATGAAATGCAATAAAACTTACAAATTTCTAGAGTATTATTCTCGTTATTCTCGAGTTTTTGATATTTTTTTTTTTGATTATGACATTATTGCAGTAAGAAAGATACGATGTATTCACGACATTAGAAATACGATCCACACTTTTTTAAGAACAAACCTTATCTAATACTATTATATGTACTGGAATTTAAATTGAGAACACTTTTACTTACTATATATGTATGTATGTATGTGCAAATGAGATAAGTACCAAATTAAGTCGAATAACGAGTCCTCGTTAGTTCATGGAGAGTTGCCAAATCAGTTGTATTCCACTAGAATCTTATTTTACAATTCACAACTACCTACAACCGCAATAAATTCGAATTACAAGAACGTGCTGCCATTAATAAATAACTATAATTTGTGTTCTAAAAAGACCGTTTATTCACCTATTGTAAATATTTTATTCCTTTTAAATATTTATTGCATATCAAAATTATTTTAATACTTTCAACAGTAAAAAAAAAATCGTTCTATGTAGTTAGTTACAAATATTAAGTATCACACTTATTGCCAACTTTTCTTATGTACGCACCAACTTGAGAAATTATCGACTGCTTGTTGAAGATACCTTAGCATGGCCTTTTAAAGCTGTACAAAGCAAACCAGCGACTCCTCCTACTACGCAAAAATGCTTTGCTTTCGATTTTTTGTTAACTTTACCAATCAACTAGAATATATTTTAAACTTTCATAACAACATCTGCATTGTTACTATATACATATGTATGTATGTATGTGCATATGTGTGTGTGTGTGTGCGCCTATTTCGCCGTTATCACTGCTAAAAAATCTTCAAACGGGCACATAAAGCATACGCCGTGTTGTACTTTGCCGCACCAACGCCGCTAACGAATCATGGGTCAGCACCGAAGTAGCCGACGATATTGAATGTGAAATTGGTGAGACAACACCACGGTTTTAAGTGAAAAATTTATTAAAAAACTCGAAGCTTATCAACAGAATGAGTTTAAGTGAGTTTAAAGCGAGCAAAATGCAACCGATAAAAGCAGTGTTGCCATTTTGTTGCTTTTGGAGTTAGATTTAGCTCTTTATTTTTCTATTTAGCTCCGAAAATTGTGTTTTAGCTCCTAGCTCTATTTTTAGCTCTTTTCAATTTTATCTAGCACTTTTTTAGCTCCGGAAGGTTTTAGTTGTATTTGGTAAATATAAGCCAAAACTAAAGCGTTGATAATATGGAAAATTTCGAAAAATCCACCATAAACTTTTGGATCTAGGTTAAAGAATTCAAAAATTAATAAGAAGAAAATCCTTTTTCTGATAGCACGGATTTGTTTTCACCTTACGAATTTTACCTTTAAGGAGAGCTGGAAGTAAAACTTTCCAGAAAAATTTTGCGATAAAATTATTAAATACAAATATCTGAAATTACAGACTTTAACAGTTTGTAAATTATTTTAGTACACTGTTATAAGTGTCATAGCATCGAATTCGAAATATATGCACCTTATTTTTTCAGCACTTAAACTTATAAAATTCGTTGTTTTTATTCGAATTGCCGAAAATGTAAAAACAACCTTACGTCAATAAATGCTCAGGCTTTAAAAAAAATATGTAGCCTTCATTTTAGCTACTATTAGTATTATTTAGCTCCTTTTAGTTCTTTTTTCGGCCGTTTTAGCTCCAAACGAAATTTTTCTCTGGCAACGCTGAATAAAAGTCGGAAAAATTGAGCGGCGTACTGCATATATACATATGTACTCGTATATTGAGTAAGCACTAGAATTGAGTAAGAACTAAAATACGTATTACTCAGTTGATTGGTGCTTAACTCGCTGCTGATAACTTGTTGTTTTATTTTTTTTTTTTCAAATTTTCAAGTGTTTTTTTTAGATGAAGTTGCATTTCTTTTATTATTTTTGTCGCTTTTGCTATTTCGACATTATCGGTTAGATTTAGTTATGTAGATATGGATAGTAGAAGTGAAATGTGCTTGCATATGAAGAAATTCGATGATTTTTTTTTTAGCTTTACAGAGGTTTGAAGCAATTTCCTCTATTTTTGGGACTAGTACTAAAAAAAAATTTTTTTAGCAATTTTATTAGCTGATTCTACAAGTACGATAGCCTTTTTGTATGTTCTTCGCAACAAGTCATGTATGTGCAAATTCAATTTGTGTAATAATTTTCATACCCACAGCTCAGGATTGTCCAAAGTTTTCTCCATGCTTAAAAACAATTGCTGGCTTTTGTATAGAAAATGTTGTGATTTGTTGAATTATCCATATATTTAATCGATATTGCTGATACGAATACATAATATTTATATGAATATTTTGGTTATTGTGTACATATTAAATACTTAAGGATAAGTGAAAATGAATTCAATTCACTCAAAAGCTTCAAAAAGTGATTTGATTGATTTCTTATACCTGGCATATCCAATATAGACCAGGTGACATACGGTGACCATACTTTGTAGGTAAAAATAAAGTGTGCATTNTTAGCTTTACAGAGGTTTGAAGCAATTTCCTCTATTTTTGGGACTAGTACTAAAAAAAAATTTTTTTAGCAATTTTATTAGCTGATTCTACAAGTACGATAGCCTTTTT